ACTTTCTTCTTCATATAACTCAGATTCTTGGATTAGTTGTTCAGCATACAGATTTCATATATGGTGAAAAGATACAACCCTGACACACACTTTTCTTGATTTTAAACCATGCAGTATCCCCTTATTCTGTTTGATTGTGACACTGCGGATTAATGTGTTGGACTGCAAGGTTGGTTTGAACTGCAAAGTTGGCGGTTCAAGCTTACCATCTGCTCCTTGAAAACCCTATAAGAGTCGCTATGAGTTGGAGCCAACTTGATGGCACTTAACAACAACAACAACAACAAAGTGTACGTACAGTTTCCACTTTATACCTGAGAACAATTAAGTGTTCCGGAATTCCCAACATTTTCAATGTTATTCATAGTTTGGTATTATCCACACTGTTGAATGCCTTCAGTCAGTATAGTCAATAAAGCACAAGTAAACGTCTTTCTGGCATTCTCTCATTTTAGCCAATATGAATTTCTAGTAGCTGTTTGCCAATGTATTGCTGCAAATATTTCTGAACTGTCTTCAGGAACATTTTACTTGTATGTGATATTAATAATCTTGTTTGATAATTAGTGCATTCTGTTGGGTCTTCTTTATTTATTGTCCAACTTTCACATGCCTATGAAGCTACTGAAAATCCAATGGCTTATGTCAGGTGCACCTTAGTCTTCAAATTGACACGTTGGCTCTTGAACACTTTCATCTTACATGATGTTTTTGATATCATCCTACAACTCATCTGGCCTTTGGTCATTTGTGTTGTTTAATATGTCAAATCTGTTCTTGAGATGGTCTCTAAATTCAGGTGGGATATATTCAAGGTCAGGAGCTTTGGTAGCGTAGTGGTTACGAATCAGGTTGCAAACCTTAAGGCCAGCAGTTTGAAACTACCAGCCGCTCCGCGGGAGAAAGATGAGGTGTTCTGCTCCCGTAAAGATTTACAACCTCGGAAACCCTGTACAGGGTCGCTATGGGTCGGAACTGACTCGACGGCACTTAACAACAACAACATATTCAAGGTCATACTTTGTCTCTTGAGGACTTGTTTCGCTTTTCTTCAGCTTCAACTTGAACTTGCATGTGAGCATTTGATAATCTGTCTCACAGTTAGCTCATTGTCTTGTTTTGACTAATGATATTGAGCTTCTTCATCTTCTCTTTAAAAAAAATTGTAGTCAGTCTGATTCCTGTATATTCCATCTGTTGAAATCTAAGATATCTCCAACATTATTTCTCACTAAGGTCATATTTTCCAACAACTAAAGCTTCCTCTTTGTTTCTAATTTTCACATTGCAATCACCAGTAATTATCAATGAATCTTGATTGTATATTTGATACAGTTCAGAATGAAGAAATTAGTTGTTGTTGTACTGTTGTTAAGTGCCATCAAATCAGTTCTGACTCATAGCGACCCTGCATAGGGTTTCTGAGGAGTGATGGGTGAGCTTGCACCATTGACTTTGCGATTCAAATGACCTTGCAGTTCAGACTCTGAAGAAGTTGGTAGAATTTTTTAATATCTTCCTAATTGGCTTTGGTGGTTAGTTCAAA